GGGGGGGGGGGACGTCATCTCTCCATCAGTTGGTGTTGTGAGCAGATGGGGGACCATTTTGGTAACAAATCTCCTACACCATCTTGACCCAAGGAATATCTTGCTTATTAAGAAATTTCTGAATATTCTTTAGCAACACATAATTATTATGAACCTCTCAATTCAAGACCCCTAAACCTCCTCCATGTTTTGTTCTGCAAACAAGATCCACAGCGGTCAGGGATTTAGACATTTAGTACATTTGCTCATATACATTTCACCCGAGAGACAATGCCTCCTGTATTTATCAAAATCTTCGATATCTCATTTTTGAAGTTTGATACAACTCATAAGGAAAGTAGGCAGATAAGAGAGGACATCATGATCCATTTGAGGTCTACCAACAGTTCCAAGGAAACGAGCAGTATATTTAATCTCCTTTGAATGGTTTGAATGGTGTGCACAAAAAACTCAATCCAGGGCTTAGAGAGGCATAAAGACCCGCTGTCTCTAATACCATATTTATATCATCCTGCAGGCAGTTGCTCAAGACCAAACTGATGACGAAAGACGGACAATATATATTTTCTTAGATAGGAGGCATCTGCCCGGCCTTAAACTGAGACCCTTAAAATACAAACTAGGTCCGACCGACAATATATTTCAACAAGACGGACAATTTATTTCAACACCTAGTTCAAAGATTTAATTGAAGAGCTACATTGTGAATTCCAGTTTCAGGAGTCAAGAGCCAATATCACCCCTCGGTAAGGTGAGGAGCCAAGAAATTGTGAAGAATCATAAGATTCCAGATCAATGGAGATTGCTCTAAAGAATACTTACTTTTCATTCTCATGAGATACCTATTTTCCTTTCCAGCGGAAATCCATCCTTCTCTGGGCGTGTCAGAAATGAAAAAATGGTAATGAAAAAAGATCTGATAATATTTATCTTACTTTAAAAAAAATATATATCTTACTTTCTGAAGAAGCTTAAGCATCAGGATTTTGTACGAACAGTACAACAACTTGCTAAGAAGGGAAGAATTTGATGCTGATGAAGGAAAAGCAAGAATTGCATACTCATCTGATCGTGGCATCACGACATCTCCATATCTGATTATGTGGTTCCAAAGTAGAAGTGTAGCTAAATATGCGTAGGAAGAGCAGCCAGTTGGATGGATTCTATGCCAACAGATAAGTGACGAGAGGAACTATGTGGATGCTATTGTGAAACCAAGGCGACTTGTCCATGGTTCCTCGGAAACCAGCTCAGCTAGTCGGCGCAGAATCGGTTCCTGGCATTGCGTCTGCCGTACTGTACTGGTATTCTTCATCGTT